TTTGAGGTAAAGGCTGATGGGTGGATTCCTCTAGTTTCTTGGAAGGATTTATAGACTGTACCATAGAAGGGGAACGTCAGAAGACCAAGTGGTCCATCAAGTCTGCCCTTTTTTGGGGGGGGATATTGGCTGTGTGGGTGTGGGCCTGTTTAAACTACACGGTGACCCAATTTTTTGTTTCACGCCCTCAGGACACGATGACGACCCTGGACGACAAGCTGTTGGGAGAGAAGAGCCAATACTACTACAGCAGCAGCAGCGATGACGAGGACAGCGATCAGGATGGGAACGGGCGTCAGGGCTCGGTCAGAGAATCGGAGGGGGGCAAAGAGGAGGGAGCCGTCAATACCGGTAACGTCTACATTCTGAGATTCTAACCTGCGTCTGTCCATTCGCTATAAAAGGCCTTTACTGCCGTGTACGTGTACTGTATATGTGCTCGGCGTGTGCTGATCTCCCTCTGTTCTCGATGCAGAGACCCGCCATGCCGGTCCCGGGTCCTCACGGGGGACAGCGGAGCCTGTGATAGCCCTCAGCCAAGGGGGGGAGGGGGGGGGCAGCTCCCTCCCATGCTTGTATATAAACAGCCATCTCCAGCTGTAAAAAAAAAAATGTTAACAGTGTCCTGCTCGTGCGCGCGCTAGGGGGCGTGCACGAGCAGGAATAACATTGCCGCACGTGTATGGTGACCCGCATCCAAGAGCGAGCCTGGGCTAGAGAACGCGGGGGTGGGCTACCGGCGTATGGGGAAGTTGGTGTTAGGTGGGTGGATGGGATTGTGGAAGGTGCTGTGGTGGGAGGGGTGAGGTGGATGGGAAGGGCTGTAACCATGGGCACTGAGGTGGGCGGGTGTGGGGCGCAGTGGCACGGAGAGGTGAATTGGCGATTCCAAAGTGGGGAGCAGGTTCTTTGATGAGGTAGGCAGGAGGTGCTGTGATCCGTGTGGGAGGTGACGGTCCTGGTTCTGAGATCCAGAAGGTGAGCCAACACTCTGCCACTTGGTGTTTGCATCAGGGCTGAGAACTCTTGAGAGGAGTAGTGAGGAAGGGTGCTGTGACAATTTCAGGAAGCCATGTAGCGCGCTGTGCTGGCCCCTCCCGCTAGCCATGTAGAGCACCCTGCCGGCCCCTCCCGCCAGCCATGATCTGCTCCCATAGAAAAACACAGAGACCCAGTGATGACATCACTGGATCTATAATGAGATATGTGATGGAAGTTGGGAGGTTTTATTTGATAATGTCGTTATGTTGATGAGGGAAGAGGCGGAGCCAGGGAAGGCAGATTACACTTCTGAGGATGAACCGGCTTTTTATTCAGAGACACGTTCATCTTCCTTTACACCTCGCGTGGGATCTCTCTTCCACAAACCCGTCTAAGCGTCCTCGATATAATCGCGCGTCCGGAACGGGTCGGCGCATCGCACACAAAAATAAACTGCCAAAGATGCAATTTGCTGACATTTTCCGCTCGCTAAGCGCTTCTCGGCGTGTGTTTTGTTCAGGTCCGAAAGGCGTCATCAATGACTGGCGGCGGTACAAACAGATGGAGACGGAGCAGAACGAGGAGCAGCGCCGGGAGATGGAGCAGCTCATTAAGAGGCTTTCCATGACTTGTAAATCGCATCTGGACGAGGAGAAGGAGAAATGCCTGTGGCTGCTGACGGAGTCTTGCAATGCCTCATGGGACTTGTAGTTTTACAACAACTGAAGTGCCGAGGTTGCCCACCCCCTGCACTAGACAGGAACGAGCACTTAACCCTTGCAGTGCTGGGGCAGTCCCGCTGCAGGGTAAGTTGTTTTTTTTTTATTTATTCCCGGAGTTCTACTTTAAGACTAAAATGATATGTATAGAGGGATGCACCAATACCGGTTATTCGTATCGAGTACGACTTTTTTTTTCGGTAGTCGATACCGTTACCAGGAGTCCCATTAAGGAAGCCGGGCGGCGTGTAATCACTCTCAGCACAGGTTGCTGATTAGCCGAGAAGCCGTCTCCATGGTCACCAGGTGAAGAGGAAGCATGGAGCCGCTTTCTGGCCAATCAAGAAGCCGGGGGTTGGCTAATGACTCGCCGCCCGGCTTTCTGATTGCCAAGCTTCCCGGCCAACCAAGAAGCCGGCGTGGAGTCTGGCTTTCTGATTGGCCTGATACCGATATTGGGATAGGCATCGGGAACATTTGGGGCGAGTACTAGTATCGGTGCATCCCTAATATATATGATCTCCTCTTAGTGGAAGTGGACTGGCCATGGTTTCCAACGCAAGGGAAGGCAATTTGCCTCGTTACCAAGTGCAGTGGCCCTGAGACATACCACTGTCTCTGCGTAGGGGGGGAATCAATAATGGAGGAACACTCTACCTTCCCCTATTACCTCTTCCCCTGTCCTGCCACCCAACTTTCTGCCCTGCACCCTTCTCCATACCCATCACCCTACTTCTTCCCTTCCCTGCCTCTCATTCAGACGGGCCCTCCCCTCCTACACATA